ATCCAAGTGGAAGATTGTTGGAATATTTTTATGTGGACTTTCATAATCATAATAATTCACTATGTAATTAATTAAAGCATCTTATGGACAATTGTGTTAATGTGAATTAACACATGCATGTATGTTAAATATTGGTCCATTATGGAATGGACACTTATTTTATTAACTCGCTTGAGGCCTTTGAACTCCCTCTATCTCATAATATTTGGTCAACCCATTGGGCCAAATACCCTCTCTGTGTGAATATTGGAAAAGGCCCCTATTTGGTTTATATAGGCAGCCACCTTTTGTTTTTGGTGGGGTGTGTGTGGGGGGCTTTAGGCTTGTGGCCGAAATGAACACAAATAGGGAGAGACAGGGAGGAGTTCATGCTCATCTTCCCCTTCTTCTTCCTTTTGCAGCTCCTCCACCCACTCCGGCCGGCCCATTGGCAGATTCCGGCGACCGTGGATGACGTAATTCCGCTGCCCACTAGAATAGAGGTATGCCTAAATTCTAAATAAGAATTTTTTATGGCATTTTCAGATTTTAAGCTAGATTAGTGTTTTTGATCTTGTTTAGATCATGTTTAGATCATTTTAAATCTAGCAAGTTATTCTTCTTCACATAGTATCTCTTCAATCTCAAAGCAAAAATTCTCTTTCTAAAATCTTCACAAGGCTGCAATTCTAACTTCTCAATAAAATCTCCATATTATATCTTTCTTACTCATTTCTTGTTTACTTGCTAAGTGTTGCTTTTTTAAAATTTTCCATTAGCGATTTTATTTTTATTTTGTTGTGTTGTGTTGATTTGGTTTTCATGCATACCTAAGTTTAAAATAATCATGTCTAATACGAAATATGCATTGGGGTATGAAAAACTCAAAAAAAAAAAGAGAGAGAGAAAAGAGAGAGAAGAATGGAAAGTTTGATTCTACCTCAGAGTGGAGCTCTAGATAAATTTCTAAGCGAACTGAAATGAAGTCAAGTGAGAAAACAAATGAACAAAAATAGTTAAATGAATTAGGTGGTGAGGAAGTAATGGTAGAAAAAATCATGGAGAATAAGAGGGAGAAATTGTGTAATGGGGTAATGGATAATGGATTAAAACATTGTGTTTTTAATAACATTATTACATTGAGCTAGAGATGTTAAACGTGCCATGTTGGGCCGGCACGGTACGTTCAACCCCAGGGCCTGGGCTGGGCCTGGCACGACCCTGCACAGTGTAAGGCCGTGCCTGGGCCGGACCTGAGGAAAAAAAACTCAGGCCCGCGGCCTTAGTCCATAAAGACCAGAGTCGGACCTGAGGAAAAAAAATTCAGGCCTGGTCCAGGCCCGCGGCCTTAGTCCATAAGGGCCAGAGCCGGACTTGGGCCTAGGCCCCTTCACGGGCCGGCCCTGGCCCTTGTAATTTTTTTTAAAATTTAATTTAAAAAAAGAAAATATATCATATGCCCCCAAAAGATGTGATTTTATTGAATTGAGATAATACGAATAAGTACACATAAATGACTGTCTCGTTAAAAACCTTGCCAAGTAAAACCCGTGGGGAGATCGGGACAAAACCTTAGCAAAAGAAAAAAGATGTGAGTGATAGTGTTTGTTGGCGGGAGTCCACACTCCCACCTTAGTGTAACGGTAGACATACTTTTCAATGTCTATCTAGATAACCAATACCCTCACCCTTTTTATTAGAAAAGTATTTTTTACAATACTTACATACCGCACGAATTCCTATTTCACTTGTTTTTGGATTTGGTCGGGACTCCTCTGTGAAATGCTGCCATGCAGGAGAAGTTCGCGGTCTTTTTCTCCTGGTGCATTCTCCAACTTTCTCGGTGTGCACTGAAGCATTATCTACTGGAGCATTTTCTGGTTCAGTGGGAGTGGGGTTGGGAGGCCATCATTTCATCCTCAAAAAATGGATCATCACCAAGCTCAGGAAGAGCAGTGAAATCAAGTAAGTTTGATGCGACCATTTTCTGGAAATTGATTGAACTTAAACTTTGTAAATGAAAGAGCAAGAAAATGAGTGATCGCGAGAAAAAAGCTTAGAATCAAAATCAAAGAGACAAGATGAGAGATAGAATGAGACTGAGATGAGAAGTTGATAGTAAATTGTTGTGTGGGATTTAGGGTGAAATTAAGGGGTATTTATAGGGGATTTTTTTGGGAGTTTTTGGATTATGACCGTTGGGCCCGCGAAGGGCCCAACGATCACAATCTGAACGGGTTGCGGGCCGTTTTACGGGCCTGGGCCGGGCCGAACAAGGGTCGAATCCGGGCTTGGGCCGAACTGAGCTTGGGCAGGGCCATAGACCTTCACAGGCTAGGGCCGGGCTGCGGACCTTCATAGGCTAGGGCCGGGCTAAGAAGCCGAGGCCCAGCCCTAGCCCATCAAACGTGTCGGGCCGGCACGGCCCGTAACAGTACCATACCGGGCCGTGCCGAATCCGGCACTATTATGGGCTGGGCCGGGCCGTCCCCGGCCCATTTGACAACTCTACATTGAGCTTTGTTATAATCTTATTTTGATTATTACTTTCTTTTGGTCTTAATACTGAGATATTTTGTTATATTGAATGATAAAAGAGATTTTTCTTTTTTTTTCATTTTAGGTAAAATATTTCATTTAAAAAATTGATTTGAAGATGTCCTTTTAGAAACTTCGCGTAAGGCCCTAAAACTTTTGAGCCAGCCGTGTAATTATTATATGTCTGAGACGTAATTATCTCTAAGAAATTTTAAAAGCCATTTGCTAATTTTAGTGTGCAGGAACTAAAAGGGTCAAAAATCAAAAGTTTATAGAGTAATTTGTCAAAATTAAAAGTTCATGAATCAAAGTGAGATAGTGCACATAATTCAAGGACTAATAGGATTACCAACCTGACTATTAATGTTAAAATTTAGGGTGAAACTCATTTGTGCCCTCTAAACTTTTTAGATTTTAAATTTTGAAAACTTCCATTTTATCTTTTGAATTATAATTTAGTCTCACTTATACTCTTTTGTTAGAATTTTCATTAAAACTATATGAAAAAAGAGGAGATTAAGTTTGGTAGTGTAGCCCTTTTTTTATGAATTTTGAATATGTTCTTGTTTTATGTGTCTCAATATAAGGGGTGGTTTTTTAATAAAAAAAAAAAGAAAGAAACTTGTATTCGAACAGAAACAAATAAAACCATCATAATAGTATTGTAAGGAAAAAAATAACGTTATTGTGAGGATATTGGCAAATGTTAGGTGTGTTACTTAATCAATGAGAAAATTAATTTCTTTGGGGTTTTAGATATTTTGGGTTGTGAGTATTATGTAAAGGGCAGTTTTATACAAGTCAATAGACTCTTTTGGTTGCCATGAAGGATGAAAAAAAATGCGGATAGGAACACTAATTGTAAGTGGATCTATGAAGGTGGAGCCACACTAAGGAAAAACTTACAAAAGTAAAATAGTGCAACAAGATGTTAATGACAACTGAAAATGGTAAAATTCAAAATGATGATTTATGATTTTGAAGACAAAACATTCAATAAGTTCGTTTCTTACGCCAAGTTTGCTGGGAGCTTGAACTTGACATATGTTTATTCGTATAGAGATATGTTATAATAGAAATCAAGATTCAATACCCGTATATGTGAGTTGAGAAAAATTGAATCAAGGTAGAGATTATAGGATATGTGACTCAAATTGATTTACTGGGCTAAGTTATTATTTTGTGAGTTTGGGTTTCGGTTAAGGTTATGTTGTGGTCCCATGAGAGTTTATGAATGTCTTTTATCTAGGATTTTATGTGGTTACAGAACCATGGAGAAAGGGTGTTACCGTTGAGAAAAATAGAGAAGCAAGAAGAGATAACAATAAAAGGTGTAACGGGTTTTTAGTAGGATAGATATTGAGAGAGTTTGTTGAATGGAATAATACTAGGAACATAGTACTAATTCTTATCCTAACCCTTAAGTTGTCATTCTTTTATTATTAGATACTTAAAAAGTTCTTAGAAAAAAGTAGGATGCTTGAAAAATCATCACATCAATTAAACAATAAAAGATGATACAAGAATGATAATTTTGACAAGAAGTTAGTAAAAAATTGAAATTAGAATTGATATCCTTGTTGTTTTGATTACAAGATGATGTTTCTTTTGTTTGTTTTTCTGTTTTTTTTTTTTTTTCATAAGGTACAACAGAACATTTTGCTTGTGTTGAATGCAAAGCAAACGCATGAAAGGGTATTTCATTGAAAACAATATATATATTTCGTCTTTCTTTTTATTTTTTTTCGTTTGGTATGATAATTCAAACCATGGTGATTCTAATTATGAGTCTGGAATCAGAACTATAATTCATGATTTTAAGTTCAAATCATTATTCTAAAACCATAATTCAAAATCAGGGGTTTGAATCACCTTAAATCAATAAGAGATGTGGTTTTAAAATCATGAGTGATTCTAGTTTAAAACATCACATCAAATTTCAAATCATGATTCAGAATCATCCAGGAAATGTTTGGTTGAATGATTCAAACTATGATTTGAATCATAGTTCATGGTTCGCTACAGTGTTTTCTCTCACAAAAAATACACGTAAATCGAAAATAGTTCTAATCACATGATTCTAATCCATGAACCAAACGTCTGAATCATGATTCAGAATCAGTGTATATTTTGTGAGAGAAAACACTGTAGCGAACCATGAACCATGATTCAAATCATGGTTTGAATCCTTCAACCAAACATCCCCTCAGAATCACTAAAGTATTCTGAATCAGGATCCATAATCATGATTCTAGATCTATCTACCAAACGAATAATATGTATATTCCCCAGTCCACTTGCCAGTCGCCATCTAGCATCCGCAAAACCCAAAACAGACTTCTATTGCAAACAACAATTCGAGTTTCCAAGGTCCGCAGTAAATTCCTACAAAAATATAACTTGCTAGAATGAAGACGAATAAGGAGCGAAATGCACTCCACCCATAGACCCTTTGTTTCCAACTCAAAATGGTCCCAAATTCACTAGAAGTAGTCGGGCCTGGTAAAATCGTCATCCTCAAAGGTGTCAAGCCTGGTAAAATCGTCATCCACAAGGGTGTCAAGCCATCCTGCGATCGAGCCAGAATTATAACAATCACCACCATCATCATTGTCGTCGTCATCGTCATTGTAATCATTGTCATAATCATCACCGCCGTCGTCATTATCATCATCATAATCCTCATCAAAATCAAAGGGGAAACCAAGACCAGAGCCTCTTCGGAAGCAATCCTCAGATGAACTAGAGCGACGCTCATCTTCAGGACCAGTAATAAACCCATAGTCTTTGGTTGGATCATCAGGAAGCCACAAATATTTAACCTGCTCAACACACCTTTTCCACACATTTCCTTTCAAGCAAATATTAAGACATCGGCGCAGGTCAAGTGATTCGAGATGAGGACAACCATCGAGAATAGCTTTTAAGCCTATGTCAATCATTGCATTTCCAATAAGCTGAAGGTGGCGCAATCTGGGCATGTTTTTCCCAATGGCAATCGCTTCGTCACTAAACTCCACCTCCTCTTCAGGATTTATGTGGTCGAACCTAAAAGCTTGCCAGTTCAATTTGAATGTTTTTAATCGAGGGCAAGTGCGCCCAGAAGCTTCGATAGGTTCAGTTGTGAACAAGCAGAGTGTAAGATCAAGCTCCACCAATAACGGCAGTTTTGCAAGGGCTTCAATCAATGCCTCATCAGAAACATAATAGCAGCAAGAAAGTCGAAGTCGTTTGATCTGCTTTGCTCTGTTGCATAAATTTTAGGAATAACAAGACAATCCAAGTTAGCAACAACATAGACAGACTAAATAAATATTTTGGAATCTCTTGAATAGACTTGTTCATTGCTGGAATTTTGAGATTAAAGTTTTAAACATATTTATATGCTTTGAAGCTTGGAAATATAAGTGCTTACAGAATTCTGTAGGAATCTAGAAACGTTTCACGATTTAGAGAAGGACATCTAAGTGACTTGCTCTCTATATCCAAAAATATTAAAGAAAAAAGGACAAAAATTGATCAAGAAAAGAGAAGTGTTTGAGAAACTGTTCTTAGCCAAGTTGTCATCAGACCCATCATTTTGAAACCATGCCATCACAAAGCATTTTCTAAGAGCATGAAAGCCAACATTCAGACAAGATTAGTTAATTCAATAACAAAAAACAAGGGTCAATAAACAAATCAAATTACAGCTAAGCTCATAAAATTCCTCTATTACCCTCCAAAGACAATGCATTTCTACCAGACACTAAATTAGAGGTTATCGTGTATAATAAATGGTGAAGAAATGCGATTGATCTTGATTGTCCTAATACTATAGACATTTTCCATTGATCATGATTCTCGATTGCGGGGACGAGGCAACAAAGCAAGATCCGAGATAAAAATTTAGCTTAGATATAGTTTGGATAGAAGTATTGGAGTGAATTGTACCAAGAGCAAAAGCAGTTTTAAACGCAAAATAATGAATTTGGTTTCAGCCATAGACCATAAGAAGGCACCATGTGCAGAGCTGGCTCCGTGCGGAGCCGGACAGCAGTTCTCTATTGCTAAGCAATTAGAACACACATTTGAATACAAATTGGGACAACAGCTTTTCAAATTTATCAGGGAAATACAAAAATAAAGTTAAAAACTACGACGGAGCAAATGGAAAAATTCGAGATCAACAGACAACATTAGCATATAAAAAAAAACTAGTAATTGAATACCTATCAGTGATGTACTTGAGGAGTTCATCATTTCCGAAATACTCAATGTTGATATCAACCACTCGGCCACGACTACGGGCGACGGCGTTGCGGCACATCTTGTCCAAGTCCAAGTTCGAATCCAGTTCGCCGAGGTTATGCATGTCGACTTTGCGCCACACGAGAGGATCCTTGCAGATTTCGAACCACGACTTGCACACGAACTGAGCCGATGCCAGGGTATACACCGTGATCAGCCAAGACAGAATCGCTGCGTCACCTCCCTCGGCAGTTCCAGCCAGTTGCGCCGTTCGTTCGGCGAATCTCCGCCGCTCTCGTCCTCCTCCTCCGACGACCACTGCGAATCGTCGTCACTCCTTGAGGACTTCTTCGCCGGCGAAGCGTCGATTAAGTGGGAAGAGGCCATTGTCGGACGCTTTGTCAGGAGAAAAATGAAGGATTTGAAATTTGATTTCTTCGTTAGGGTTTCTAGCGGCGGGAAAGAAAAGGAGAAATGGTTTGAAGATTTTTGGAATACAAGCAAAAATGGCTTTTTAAAAGAATATATCTAGCAGTGATTCTAATTTTGTCAATTCCAAAATCTTTGGCAGATGTTTAATTTGAGGGTTCAAAACACTTTAATTTAAATAGTGTGTGTTTGATATGTGAGTTTTGTTATAGTATAAATTCATAATTTTAATTTGATATAGTATTTCTTTTATAAAAAATTTTAAATGTTTAAAAATCATAATTAAGAATCTTAATTTAAACTCATATACTAAACGGGCCTTTAACTCATTAAGTAACATTTTGGCCTTTTTTTTTAATTTTGGCAAAGTGATCCCTTCGATTCTCAAATATTAAATGGTATCACAACAGCAACCGATTACTTATTAGTATCACGGCGAGAATTTGGCTAAAATAACTGAGTAAAAAAGTAAAATTAAGAAAATGACTTTTTAATTTTAATTTTTTTTATTTTATTAAAGGCAAAGATCGAAGGAAGCACCAGAAATGGTCATGGCGAATCCGCAGCCTCCGCCGCAAACATCCATCCACGAGAACGGCGGCGGGAGGCGGACGATTGTCGGCGAGAGGAGAGGCGTCCTCTGCTGCAAAGCTCCGGGAAGGTATCCCCACATGTACGCCACTCTCTGCGTAGCCTCTTTCTCCTCCATTTTCACATCTCCATCGCCATTCATGGCGTCGCTCGAAAATGGAAAGAAATGGCCAAAAAAAAGTAGCAAAAAGGGAGAAAGTGAAATACTTTCTGAGTCTTTCTGGTTCTTCGGCTTCAATGTGTTTAATGGTATTGTTGGGGATTTTCTGTTTGGGAGCTGAGAAATGGGAAAGGACTATTTGGTGGGACTAGAAAGTGTGTCGGAAAGGAGAAATGTGAAGAAATCAAAAAAAATTTCTTTTTTTTTCGTTTTTCTTTCTTATCAGAAAGTCATTTTGCAAATAAAAATTTTTGAATTATCATTTTATGAATAAAGCTTTTCTATTAAATTATTTTTACAAACGCCTCTATCACGGCGGATGTCGCTTGATGTCATAAGAATATATTTACTATTTTAAAATATATAAAAAAAATAACATGACGTAATATTCTCTACAATCATTTTTTTTCGATAGAATAAGTGAATTCAAGTCTTCGGTTTGTGGCATTCCTCTAAAGAGCCTAAAAACATTTAATTAGAAACGAAACCAAAATTTAAAGATCAAAACCGAGTTTATCACTTACTACTCTACCCAAACCTTTTTGGAGCCGTAAATATCAATTGAATACATTGGCTCCTTTCCGCATTGTTTTAAGAGACTCCTCTTAATTTTTTTTAAGAAGTTACAGAAGATTTAGGTATTTAGGCCTCGTTTACTTTGTGGATTCGAGTTTTTAATTTAAGTTGAAATGTAACATTTTCTGAGAGTTTTTTACTGTAGCAGAAAAAATTAGATGTGACATTATCTGATAACTTTTTAATGTAGAAACCTAAAACTAAAAACTCGAATCGGTAAAATGAACGAGATCTTAGTAAATATTACTTTGTCCAATAATTTTTAAAAATTATTGTCAAACAACAGAATTTAAAAAGCAGGTCATGGGTTGTTTTTACACAGCTACTTCTTCTGTTATTATTCAAATTTACTAAAAGAACCTTAATAATAAAATTTAATTATCTATTTACCTACTTTATTTTTGCATACCAAATTAAAAAATATTTATTTAAAATTTTTTATTTGAAACTTAAAATATCTTATAAATATACTATGTTAAATTTTACTCAAATATTTTTTTACAATTATCAAAATGTTTAAATATAACAACAATAAATGATAATTTAACAATTTTTTATAAAATTTTAAATCATAAATTAAATATATTTTTTTTAATATTTTGGTGTAAAAATATTATGAATGTTGACCTTAAAAATAGAAATGAAACTAAGCATGAATATGCATGTTAACTCCACAACAATTTTATACATAATTTATCAAACATCTAAATTTCTCATTATAACATTCACAACAGTTTTGAAAAGAAAATTTTCTAAATACCTACATGTTTCTAGTTACAATAACTTTTAACCAAACAGTTCAATAAGAGTAAAAATTATTTACAACATAGCAATGCTAAACTGACACTTTATTTTGTAGCATTTATAAGTGCTTCTTTCGTAAATACTAAGGAAGCAAATGATATATAGTTGTCAACTATTATTACGTAGGTTTCTATAAATTTAAAAAAAAAAAAAAAAAAAAAAAAAAAAAAAAAAAAAAAAAAAAAAAAAAAAAAAAACACTATACTATTACATGGGTGGAGTAATTATCGCTAAGGTTATTTGGTCTCGTCCCTTTGTCCTTGAATGTAAGACCCCAATGTATCTAAATCACGTTTGTTTTGTGTATTTATTTTTTATTCTAAATCATGATTCACAATTTTTTACAGTATTTTCTCTTATAAAAAATACACATAAAATAAGAATAATTTTAAATTATAATTATAAACACATGAACTAAACATCCACTTAAACATCTCCCATTTGATGGGTGGGTAAATTGAGTGAAACATCTTTCCACAACAAAGTCCAACATACATTTACAACGCACCACGGCAATAGAAATATGGATGAAAAACTTCAGTTTTTCGGAGGTTATAATTTATTTTTACTTTTTTTTTATTAAAATTATTGTAGTACTCTTTTTATAGTGAAATATATTTTTAGTGCCCTGTATTTTTTATAATAGTAAAACAATATCTCGACATCTTTAAAAACAGTTTTTTAGAGCTTGTTCTTTTTGAGTGAAAAACTCAAAAAAATGCAACTCGAGTTACAACTTTATTCGAGTTCATGTTCTTTTAAGTTTAAACTCGAGTTCAAACTCGAGTTTAGGACTAAAACTCGAGTTCAAGTTTTCCCTTAAACTCGAGTTCATAAACTCGAACTCAAATTAATGAACAATATTTTTTCTATTCTTAAAAATGCTATAACTTTTTCGTTTGATTCTGATTGAGATAATTTTTTTTCTATGCGTTGACAACGAAAAGACGAATAAAATCTGACCCATATACTCTATTAAAATTTTTCATCAGCATTGAGTTTTTATTAAAATACTATCTAAATACAAATTCAAGTTTTGACTCACTCAAAAAGATTCTTATCTCAAACCATAACTCAAATGTACACAACCAAACACAAACTCAAGTTACAAGTTATAACTTAAATTCAACTCAAGAATTATACTCAAGTTAAACTCTAAAAGAACAAGCTCTTAGTATCTTGAAGTTAATTTTTAAGACATAATGTACAAACTATCATTCTTATTAATTAAATAGAAATTACTATTTTGTTAAAATTAAATATAGTTTAAAACATCAAAATATTTAAAAGAAAGCAACAAAATAAAAATGTTCATGATTTTTTTCTAGATATATTTGTTTGGTAAATTAAATAGATGGACACTAAAGTCATTTTATGTCTCAAAATCGACTTGAAGATACCAAAAAGGCATTTTTAAAAACGTTGAGATACCGTTTTAATATTATAAAAAACACAGAGTAACATGTTTAACTGTACTACAGGATATCAAAATAATTTTATTTTATTTTATTTTTTTGAAAATGAGATGACCCAAACATATGATATCCTTTGCAAATACTTGCCAATCGGTTTTTTGGGGCGTTTCGTTGCCCCCTCTCTCTTTTTTTTTTTTTTTTAGCTTTTAAGTTTTTTTTTTCCTTTTTCTTTTTCTCCAGTATCTTTTTCAGTGTATCTTTTAACTTTTGATATTTATATATTTTAAATACATCTCTTTTACAGTTATTTAAAATATTTATTTTTATTACTCTATTAAATTAATTTATTCTTAGTGTGTCTCTGTATAAATTGATTTTAATAAATTTCAGTTTCAGTTTCAAAATATTTTGAATAAATTATTTTCTTAAGTTTTTTTTTTTTTGTCTTTTTTTTCATGTTTTCACTTTAGATCTTTTTTTCGGTTTTATTTTTATTTTTACTATTATTTTTTAAGATAATTTATATACCTGTTGTTTTAAATGAATCACCCGGCAGGAACGCGCATGCTTTAACTAGTAATATATAGACATCTATAGCCACTTCGTTGAACGAAAGTCAAAACAGAAAACAGCCATACAACAAGTCAAACCATCACCAATAATTGCGCCTGATTACAACCAAGAACCAACCAACCATCCATCTGTTCCAGAAAGAGCGAATGGCCAATAAAAAAATCTCAATAACTAGAGAAAAGAAAGAAAGATCTCTAACTCACTAATAGATTATGTAAAAAAGCCAAAAAAAAAAAAAAAAAAAAGTTTCAGAATAAAAATTGATCCACCATTGTTAGATATCTATTAGATCAAGGATATCCTAGATCTTTTCATACTTTTCTTGTTTCTCTCCTGAAAATCCATTTTCCCGGAAAACATGAGTGGGCTCCGAGCATTTTCATCTCCTGAGTTATTACCTCCTGAAAAGAATCAAATCGAACGACCCGGAGATCATAGTCTTGAAGGTATTTGATCATAAATTGTCCCTCATTTTCCTTTTCCTTTCATTTTGACTAGTCATTTTGATATGAATCTTTCTTGTACTTTTGGCTCCAAAGAAGCATAACAGAAATACTTATTGGCCATTCTAGCATTTGTACATTCTTGGTTGTTTGTTTGTTTGTTTGTTTAGGAATTGCTACAAATGTTAAGTTGCTATTGAAAATAATCCAAGACCACAACGAGGCGTGCACAAGAGATGTTGTTGATGAAAGGAAGGCTCAGAGAGTGGCTGGGATGATGAGCATAATTGAAAATATCAAGACCCGGATTCAGGAATCTCAGACAGTTGGTAGAAGAGCAGAGCTAAGGAGATGCAATACAGATCTAAGGGCCAATGCTCCGAGAGACAAAAAGGCGCATGAACCGATAACCGATGAGAATGAGAAGCTACGAAGACAGCTCAGCGCAAGCTTAGCAGCAAGAAAGAGCCTAGAGATAATGTGCACCAGCTTAGGGAAACGGAGCTCTCTAGGAAAGTCCAAGAATTGAATGGATTGGAGGAGCTCGTAGGGGATCTCAGGGTGCAAAACGACATGTTGTTGGGGAAGGTGAAGGCTTGTGCCGCAGAGCACAAGGAGAAGAAAGAGACCGGCGTAGGAAACTCAGCTCTCCAAGAGAGAAACAAGGCTCTTTCGGAGCAACTACTGAAATCCCTTGACGGGTATCGGTCGTTGAAGAGAAAGCTCAAGGATTCACAAGAGGAGAACGTGAAAGCCAACAAAATATTGGAGGAAATGGAAGTGGAACTTCGAGCTGGCCTTGGCAGAATAAATAGATTGAAGGAAAGCATGGATAATGTCAATTTCAATGAGGCGATTTCGGATTTGGAGCATTTGTTTCATTCTTTCAACTTGAATATATCCAAACATAGGCAGAAGAAAAGTGAGTCTCCCAAGAGCAAAAGCGAGACCAAAGTCAGTAAGGCTTCTGTTCTCGCATGAGAAGAAAAGGGTATCACTTTGGGGTGGTCACTTTTTGTGTAGATATATAATTCTCACATTCTGTTCTTGCATCTTTGGAAATATTCGGAAGTGGGAAACATGTTGTGATGTGTGTCATAAAAGTTGAAGTGGAATAGTGAAGCCTTCACGTTGGTTGTTCATGCGCAATTTGACTTGCATAGGCCTACAGATAAACCACCCTGGCCCTACAATGTTGTATAATTCCAAATTTTCTTCTTCTTTCTATGCTTTTATTTGGAAGTAGGAGCTGATAATGATAGGAAGGCAAGGTGTTACTTTTGCAAGTCTACATAGAAAATCTTACAAGAAACAAGTTTAACAGAGTATTCTGTAGCAAGGCATGAAAAATACCGAATCGGTAGAACACAATTTTACACAATTAGATCACATCAAAATCCTATCAGTTTTTTTAATAAAAAATATATATATATGATAATTTATCAAAACTTACGAAGACCTATGTTCAAAACTATGCCCTGCTGTTAAGCTATTTTGATTACCCTACCACAAAATTCTAATCAACTGATGGAAAACTGACTGCTATAATCCGGCTTGCCCACTAAGGCTCATGGACAACTATAGCTCTCTCTTTCTAACAGCTTGATGACAAATCTTTTTTGGGTCAAATATCTACGCTACAGCTAGCCCGGATGGGTTGCATAACTTTAATTTTACTTTATTAGGAAAAAAACAAAGAAAGAAAAAATTAATATTACTAGAAGGAAAATTCAAATTTTGGAAATCATGCCTTTTGGCAAACACAAGCTACCTTCATCACGTTAGATACTAGACTCCTTTTGGCAGGAAATAAAACAATCATGATAAAATTTGCCACTTCAGCTTCTAGTCCAAAATAGCTGTTGTTACGGAAGAGGGGGAATATGTGTGTGTACTTATATACACATATATATACACACATAAGGAATTAATAAAAACAAAGAAGCGATTCTCCCAATAGTGGGATCATTCAACTTACGTTGCTTAAATAAAGACTATGAAGTGACGCCGCTTTTTAACTACATTATAATGCCTTGTTAAGAGTGAATGTTGCTTAGCTTATCATTGTTCCTTTCGTACTTTTTATCACAAGGATGAATCTTCAAAAATTCTCAGAGTTTTCTGATAAGATTAGGTTAGTAATTAGTAATTAATATAATAAGTGGTTAGTGGTTTGTAATTAGGATTGGTTTGTTATATTTGTTAAGTAGTTAGTAGTTAGTTAGGCCTTGGGATTTGTGAGTGGATTAAAAGATAATGAGTATAAATAGAACGGAGATAGAATAAGGGAGCATTATTCAGTTTGTGAAACTTCTGAGAGAAGATAGTTTAGAGAGAGCAAGGGATCTCTCGAATATCCTCATATCTCTTTCTATAACTCAATTTCCACCATTGATATTAATTAAAGCTCTGCTATTAGCATTTCTCTTTCCGATTTGTCATTTTCAATTGATTGTTTGGATTGGAGCTTATCAAATTGGTATCATAGCACTTTCTTGGGTATAGAAATAGCTAGAACGTGTGGATGTTGGCAGCGATTAGAAATGCCAATGTTCTCAGGAAAGTATCCAGATTCTTGGATCGTAAAAGTGGAAGAATATCAACAAAAAAATCAATTTTCAAAACGTGAAAAGATTTGGTTTGTAGAGGAATTCATGGAAGATGAGGCACTAGATTGGTTTCAGTGGGAGGATAGAAGACGACCATTTGTTTGTTGGAGTGAATTCAAGATGAATTTGCTTCAACGCTTCAAACCAACACAAAGATTGCTTTCAGAAACGAATATGAAGGTTTGGCCACAGAACGTAGGAATGATTTCAGATCTTCATGTTTCTGGCGTTGGCTCGTCACAACCAGATTTGGAACGTCAAAACCGACGAACGACCTTAGAGAAAACGCAAAGATATCTGGAATCGCGTGAGGTTGACGGCACTCCAAGCAATTTTTCACGGTCTGGTGCGATATCGCTCAGATCTGAGTCAATCGGCATCAATCTGAGGGCGAATGATGATCGAAAGCTGGGGAAGGAGGCAGATCTTCCCAGAGAAAAGGCTAGGGTTTTTAGACTTGGAGATGTTGGCCAGAATCGTGTGGACCGCACAAGGAAGGGCAGATCAGACTGCCGAAGGGGAAGGTGGCTGAACACGAGGAGAACCCGTGCAGCGGAGGGGTCGATCTCGACCAAAATTGACCCAATCTGCAATGGGACCAGCAGATCGACGTCGATTGGGGCTTGGGAAGCCCAGATCTACAACGGGGAGGGCTGATCGACACCGGATTTGGCCTGGGTGGTGCTCAGGGTTGGCGGGAGTTACGATTCAACCATAATCTTTTGGATTCACGACCTGGAGGTCAGATCGGTGGGGAGCGGAGCCGTGGAGTGCAAATTAGCGATGGGCTAGAGCTGAACTACGACCAGAGGCCGCGCGGAGGAGAACCGGTGGAAGGTGCGCCGACAAACGTGGAAAGGCATAGAGAGGGGCTTGTCTGGCTGCGCGATTTGGAGTGGGAAGCCATGCTCGATCTAAGCCCATCTGGCGCTCATCGGGTCAAAGAATTAGACCCGAATTTGGCTGGGTCTTGCGATTCTAGTGTGGGCAGAGTCACATTGGGCTTGGTTGGTCCTAATTCATGCATAATAAGTTTAATAGGGATATTCAGCGTGAGTTCCAACAAGATTTGGGCTGAGTTCTGAAATTCCGGCCGGATTTGGACTGGGTGCCATGATTCTGACGCAATTGGGGCTAATTTCCGCACAATTAAGGCTGGGCTTCGTGATTATGGTGCGATTGGGGCATATTCCGGCGAGCTAAGTGTTGGGTTTACCTTTCCAAGGCTCTCTATTTTTGGGTTAATTAGCATTGAGTTGGGTTCTTTGAAAGTTACTGCTACCTTTGACGTTCCAAGGTTCATGTGCATTGAAATGGGAAGAAGATGGCATCATTCAAGTGCAATTACCTGATCAACACCTTGAGGACAAGATGTCTTAAGGAGGGGAGTAATGATAGGATTATATTAACAATTAGTAATCAATATAATAAGTGATTAGTTATTTGTGATTAAGGTTGGTTTGTTATGTTTATTAAGTAGTTAATAGTTAGTTAGGCCTTGAGATTAGTGAGTGGATTAAGAAATAATAAGTACAAATAAAATGAAGGTAGAATAAAGGAGCATTATTATGTGAAACTTCTGAGAGAAAATAGTTTAAAGAGAACAAGAAATCTCTCGAATATCTCCATATCTCTCTCTATAATTCAATTTCCACCGTTGATATTAATCAAAGCTCCGTTAGCATTTCTCTTTCTGATGTCATTTTCAATTGATTGTTTGGATTGGAGCTTATCATTTTCCTTGGGCTGTTTTCTTTTCTTTGAGCTAGTTTGTCCCTAGTTTATAGCCTGTAGGCTGTAGTTGTACTGTTTCAGTTAATGTGCTGTTTTCGGTTGGTTTTGTTCCCATCTTTCTGTTTTGCTATATAGTTGCTTTCATGTAACGATTTACATATTAAAGAGAAGGAAAATGCGCATCTCTAAAATATCATATTTTCATACGAACGATATTTAACCATGATTATACCTCTGAGAAATAGTTTCAAAAGCTGATTTAAAATATGCCCTGAATCGTGTACAAAGTTATGTATATATAACGTGCATAGTTATTCAGCAAGACTTTGTAACTTGCTGGCAGCAATGGAGTTCAAAACCCATGAATTGCTTACTACTTTGGCACCAGATGAACTTGCTAGAGCCTCTGCATCAGACCGCTTACGGTTGACTATCAAAATCCTCTTGGTGGGGTCAGATTGATCAGATAGCTCAAGGCTGTAAATAACAAAAGTCTCGGTAGTGGTAGAACCGGATGGCAAGCCTTTCCCATAACCCGAAACAGGCTTTCTATGCAGAACAGTTCCTCCAGCAGCAGTAATGAGGTCTTGTAGATAGCCCTTGTATGAAGGTAAAAATTCTCCCATAAAGTAGAACTTAAACCCATCAAATAGCTTTGATTGCTGCATATGAAAGAGATCATAGGTAAAGAACACAAGCAACAGGAATGTGCTCGTGCAAATTCACGTTCTCATCATCTTATAAAAGTATATTCTTATCCAATAATATCAACAAAGTCAAACTGATACAACTTGACGATATTCAGTATATTAGAAATAATGCAAATGCTGACTTTTAGACTGCTTTAGAAACCTCATTGGCAAAAATATGTAGGGAATGGGAAACAAGTAATAGAAAAGAAACTTTAAGGACACAATTAATATTCTCAAGTTTCACTAAAATAGTAAAAGACCACGCGGAACCAACCTTGTTTTGGACCCGGAGTCTTCCTAGTCGGGGGCCATCCCTGATTCCATGAGTGTCAACAGTAATTTCAAAACACTCCTCATCAACTAGTTTCGTTGCTTCCATGCAAGCATTGATCCCTAATTAAAAAAGGGAGAGAGAAATTAAAGGTAATGAGCTGCAATAAATACGTGTATGAACGCAAAATATATACAAGATATCAGACTTTTGTTCTCTTTCAAATATAATCCAATTTGATATTGAAAAACGTTGTAATAAGAAAATCCAGGGTTACATTTCATGCTTAATATCCACTTCCCATCCAAGATCCCCATTAAAACTTTGAGGGTTCTTTTGCATGCTCCACTTTCATCTGTTGATGCAATAACATGAGTGACATTTGATTCCCACTTCTTGGACACTGTAACTCCAGAAATTCTCTCAAATTCAGAAACTATTTCCTGTAGTGCCAAAAAAAAAAAAAAAAAAAAAAAAGGCTTCTCACATTTTCCACATCCAAGAGATGGAACTGAAGAATTACAAGCAGCGTATTTACCTGCTCTGAATTTGTGAGAGCTGAACAACAGAGAACTAATTTCCTAAAGGATCCACGAGAACTCCAATTAGGGGAGGTTACAAGATCATGCTTAACAGCAACACTATTTTCTTGAACAGAAGGTGACCTAGAAATGGAGAAATAAGATAGACACAAATGAGAACATTAATTCAGTAGGAATTTTTGAGTCTGCTGAGTAAGTTATTAGAACTTTGACGAGGAGATCTATTCACCTTTTTAAGTTGCATTTTCTCTTTCTTGGTTGGGATTCAGAACATTCATTAGGAAGCTTCGAAGAGGAATGAAGGGGGCATAACATGAGAAAGTTTTCCTAAGTAAACCAAAATTAGAGTAATATTAATCTCTAGAAAAGGGTGAAACAGTCAATGAACTTTGGAATTTGGATAGATCATCTAACACATACTGTATCCCATCTACATTGAGGCGTCAACTTGGCACAAGGAATATGAAAACTCTTCCGGCAACTCTTATCATAACATCCAAGGGCAGCACCTTTAAGTCCACAGCAACTACATTTGATTCTTCGACTTCTAGCTAATTCAGCTTCAAGATTCATGGCAACATCTTCTTCAAAGTACACATTGGGTGCCCTTCACATATTTTTGGCACTTAATTAGCCTAAAGACAGTTGCAAACATTGGACACAAAGAAAAGCTTAGATTTCCAAACCAACCCCTCCTATTATTTATGTCAAATTCAAAATACTACATATTCACAAAAGATAATGACCCCGTTATAAAATTGCAAGACCCCATTAGTACACATCTAAATTACTTGCAGTAATCTTCCCTGTCAAAAAGACACTTGTATTGGATTATCCCATCATGAACACCCAAAATGCTTGCAGACTTCTTTAGCAGTAACAGACAAATTCAATGAGAGAACTTAACATACTCACATATCAAAGTTAGAAAGCATGTCAAACACACCAATATGATAAGAAAATATATTTTTTTCTCAACAAAGGTATGCTTACCATTCAGTGCAATTCTTGTGTGAATGAATAACCTTCGATTGCCCATTATAGTCTGCAGCAACGGGTTTGCCCTTGTAATAGTGAACCATTTCTCCAGAAGCCTGTAATTTTGTTTTCACAATTTGAGCGCAGATTCAAATACATTAGTATATACATAAGGGAGTGGATATCACATGACAAAGAAAACGGCATCAACAGAACTAATACCTCAGTGTCTTCTGATGAAAGACAAAAAGCACACTGAATTTTACTAGGGGTGTTCCCACATCTCTGCAATACCATATTATTAGTCAGGGAGGGTAGTTTCTTCACTATTGGTGGATCATCCAAGCTTCCAACGTCCAGATTGCTTTGAATATGTCTAGTGGTTTGAACTTCCTTTGCATGAATATCGTTAACAGGACCAGCTTGAATGTCACCACCTATTTCATCCTTTGAGTTGACACTGCAAGAAATTTTGGATTTTCCTCTACTCCTCAATCGAACATTAGTAGACTTGGATTTTCTGGAAGGCCTGCTGGGTTTTGCCCTAGTATCAGAAGCTTTGTCCGTATTAACCAGAGGGACAAATAAAGCAGATAACTGAGCTATAGTGTCCTTTTGGGTTGAGTTTTTCCTTTTAGATACTTCTTCAGAATCATTTTGCATAGTATCTGACCTTTGCTCTTTTGTGCTCACTGCGTGCTGTGTCTGGTTCTGGACATGAATCTCATTGCAGTTTTTTCCATCCTTCTTCAAGGCCAAGTCTTCATTGCATCTTTTCTTTTTTCCAAAGGAAGCAGGCAACTCAATTGTCATATCTTTGTTACCCTCATCTGAAGCTTCAGCTCTGCCACAGGGAGCATGAACTTTCTTACTTCTTTTGCGAGTCTTAAACATGTCTTGAGATTTCTCATTTGAGTCTACATTGGTTCCAGGGACTGGATTAGCACTTTTCAAAGGACATGTGATTCCAACCTTTGCCTCCCGACCTCTTTTCTTAGATTTCTTAACACCTGTTTGATCATTAGCATTGATGGCTCCACGAGGAGAAATGTCAGGCAACTCAACGGTATATCTATCATCTTGTCTAATATTCATAGATATAACATTTCCCTCAGGCACTGCTTTGCCTTCAGCTACATCAAATTCATCAGTATCAGAGACCTGCATTTTGATTTGACTCAAAATTTGATGACTTCACACTAATGGAAACTAAACGAGAGTACAAGACAATTTAAATTGGAGATTAAAAAAACAAGTCGTAATTTATACCTGCATCTTAAAGGGACTTGAACAGAGTTCAGGGGAGCAAGCTCTTTGTGTCCATTCAAACATTTCACTATCAAACATATCAGCACCACTGGAGGATTTACCAAGCTCCTTTCCCTGCATGAGATAAGCAAAATGATAAGACAAAGATAATCGTACTATCTAAAATTACTGCAATAAATTTCTTACTTCACATTACTCACAGCTATCATAAGATCCTAACTTCAAAAATATGACCAAATGAAAAACCTGGCTGGCTGAGATTGTATTGCAGGAATATAAAGTGAGATATTTAAAGCTGTGAAAACCTTCATAAAATCTGTTTCATTTCTCTTTTAAAATTTAAAACAAAATTTAAGAAAATTTTAGTAACAAAATTTAAAACAAGCAGATGACTTTTCTTTGTACACGTAACAAGTATGACGATTACCTTCCAAGTCAAATAAACAACAGCATCTATGATTCTTTGACACTAACAAAGTACTTTATACTCACTTCTGGGGTCAATCTAGGTGTATTTTCATCATCCGAGTCCTTGATATCACTGAAAGTAGGAGCATTTGGAAGTGGCATGTCAATGAATGCATTTGTATCAGTCTCCTGACTTAAATTTTCCATGTTTTCTTCATCTCTCAACCAAAAGAAAGGCAAAAGTCTTGGTCCTCCCTTCTCATCAGTAAGAGGATGCTTCTTTAGAATTTTTATGCTCTTTTCAGATAACTTATCAACAGTTGCACCCAAGTCACCTTCAGACTGTGAATGTGGTACCTGAACCCTCTTCTTGGCTGGAAATGAAGGTTTTTCTTGAAAAGAAGACGAACTTTTCAGATTGGAGTTACATTTTTCTCTTGACCCTAGTTCTCTGAAGGAATCCTGCTTCTCAACAAAAATTTGACCAGAATCTCGTCTGTCATTAATGTTGCAACCTTCCACATGCTCTTTTCCGTCTGTTATAAGGCAAAGGAAAACGCATAAGAACCACCTATGGCTTCTGCATTTAAAAATAAAAAACAACAAAATGGATACAGCTAAACATGAGTTTAAGAAAAAATGTCAGATACAAAAAAGTAGCTCTGGCGTGAGTTTGTTAGACTTGTACCCTTGTACAGTAAAGAGATGTCATTACTAGTATTAACATATGGAAAATACCTTCTCAAAATAAGCATCCCTTGCAATCTTATAAGTCGTTCTACAATGAAGTGTAGAGGACGGTGTTTTAAAAATTCATGCAATGAAGAAACAAATAGAATAACTTGGAGCATGCAATTAAGAATGCATAATGTAAGAAGCAAAGTTAAGATTGTAATATGATAGACAAAACAAATGGTTCTTGTGGTGATGGAAACTTTACAAAAAATGAATTAAAGAGTTTTTTTGCACTGAGGTAGAAGTTCAAGGCTTCAAGCCCTAATAATTTCTGAGATTACCCTAAATAACCACCGTTCCTTCATGTTTTTTTGCATATCCGCATGCCAAATCCATGTATAGCTAGATACCTGATAATTTAGTTGGGGGTGCATTCTGAGTTACAAATATATTCACTCCTGAAGAAATCTCCATACTCTTGTAGATGCCAACCAAGTTATCCATGTGAGGAGCAGGGCGAACTTCTGCCGCAAAAATTTGTAGGCACCAAACATAATTAGAAAACAAAGTCAACCAGTTATAAAGCAACTCTAAAATCACTGCTTATCAGTTCTTCGGAACTACCCTAATACTGAAAATTTTGAATTTTAAGCTGTAATTGCCCTCAATATATTGTTGTGCACATTATTTGCATTGCAAAAGAGTGAAGTAGCATACAAACTATTGCGGGAAGTATTATGCGGATGAGATGAATGGAAAGAAAGAGAGAGAGAGAAGGAAGTATTGCTCATAAGTCTTTGTTAGATTAAAACATTAGTGTGTGTCAATCTGAAACACAATTTTCAATCCTCAATTCTTGTTGCATTAAAAAATACAGTCCATAACCAAATTCCATTGCAACAGTTCAACCTCAACATATCATTAATTTTGCTTCCCCTTTTCTTTTCATTTTTATCACCATCATCTCCAATTCTTTGGAAATGCACTGCTAGATATGTGGTTTTTTTCCCTTTACAGCTAAAAATAAACTGCTTTATTTTTATAATGAAATCCATGAAAATATCCATAGCATGATGATTAAGAATTCATGTCTCAGTAGAAAAGCATACCTCTACGACGATACGGAACTTTACAGACCGGGCAATTGGAACCCGATTTCATCGATTTCACAATACAAGAACTGAAAACGTAATAAATAGCTAATCTTAGTTTTCTATCTACAGTTTGAATCAAAAGAAGAAATCCATGAAATCTATTCAGGAGGAAAGAGCCCTACTTGCAGAAAACATGGTTGCAATTCAGTGAAACTGCGGAGTTCAGAAGGCTCAAGCTGCCAAAACCAAAATCAAACGAATTCACCTCATTAATCCCAAAGAAAAATTTTCGAAAACCTAAAACAGAGCGACAAATAAGGCTGACACAAAAAAAAAAAGCCCAGAAAACTTTTGCGCTAGATCTCCAATTTTATCGAAGGTATACGTACATATATATATATATATAATATATATATATATATAGAGAGAGAGAGAGAGAGGTACCAAATGGGGCACTTGAGTTCTCTGCCCATTCTCTCAAGGTGGTTCGGATCTCCCACCATTTTTGTTTTTCTTTCTGTTCTGTGTTTAGAGAGAGAGATATATATTCTATGGGAATGGCAGATCTCGGGACCAAGAAGAAGAAGAAGAGAGTTTTCATTTTTTTGGTTCTTTTTTTGAATTTAAAGCGGCCCAAATTTTCTAACGCGCGTAAACTTTCAGAATTTTGAAAATGGCGGGTTTGGAGACTCTAACAACGGGGGGGGGGGGGGTCCCGGGGGGGGATTGCTTTTTGAATGGAGGGCCATGATTTCCCCGCGCAATCACAACTGCAGTTTCATTTTTTTAGGGTTCTTAGCAGTGTTGCCCTCCCAAACGTTTCCACTTTTGACAATTTGCCCCAGACAACTAATTTTGGCATTTTACCTCCTCAACTTTTTAAATTGTTACAGTGTTCCCGGTTTTGTTAATTTTACCTTTATTGGCTATACCCCACAACTTATCACATTTGCCTTCGTATAAATCATACAAATTCAAATGCGTTCATATAAATCATACAGGTTCTATTGAGTTTGTTGAATGTATAGATTTTTTGATATTATTTAATTCAATTATATATGTAAATGCATTATTTTAGATAATCCTCATCTTTTACATTTAATATTTGTTTTCAATTTGGTAACTCTAATGAGTTTTGTAGTGCTGCGTAAATTCTTCCTGTAGTTATGAAATATAAATTGATAAGTGCACTGTTATTTGTCACCTAAATATATTACGCCTTTACAGAATACTATCATTATCAAGCCCAACTATAGTATTTGAAGTGCCCAAGCAAAAAATATTCCGTAAGACTATAAAAGCTATAGCTCAATTTAAATACTGCTATTTCTATCTCGTAACAGGCAATAAGAGTTTGATTTGTTATAAAATATTCTAATAGACTTATTAGGTCAGCTTTGACTTAAAAATTAGATGGTGTTTTTGTTATTCATTAGACATAAGGTAAACTCCTTACTTTAAGTTTGCTTTGGACTAGAGACGTAAGATTAAGGGAAATAGTAGAAAATAAGTCAATATGAAAAGCTTAAAAAAAAATATAAGATAATTTTTAGTTATAGAAATTAATAGGTCATAACTTATTAAGTTATGGTTCATAATCAGATAAGTTATGAACAAACATGTCAAGTTATGGTTCATAACCAGACAAGTTATGAATAATTATGGACAATACCTTGTCAAGTTATGGACAAAAATAGTAATTTGACCTATTTATTAACTTATGTAAACTATTGGTCTATTAATTTTAATGCATCTCAAGTCTTGGCCTATTTTTCTCTTTCTCCCTAAGATTAAATATCCATAAAGTGGAGTTCAATCTATTAACAATGGTTCAAACTCTGAAAATTAATAATTTTAGTTGTAATGAGTTTAGTGTTTTATTGTTAGATATATCTAACTTATTTTTTTTTCATAAAATAATGTGTCTCATCTTTTTAACTTATTTAGCTCTTAATATAGATGATGAGTTCATTTGATTGGAGTAATCTACCAACCTAAAGAGATTGTTATTGTACATTTAACTTATTGTAGGTGTTTTCGTTTACGAAACAAGTTATTAATTTACGAAGCAAGTTATTCGTTTATGAAGCAAGTTATTCGTTTATGAAGAGCATCAATCAGATGACAATGTAGAAGAAAATCAAGTTTTACTATCACAAGAAATGGATGAAGTATGAGACTAAATTGCGGCAAGTTTAATGAGTATGATTTAATTCTTTTAATGCATCTACCAGTTTTTGAACGTGGAATGTATATTTTTGTTGTATATGTTGATTACTCACTAATTCTTATTTTTATTGTAACTATATTGTGAACGAAGAAATGAAAAAAAAGAATTAAGTATCATAAATTTATTGTTAGAAAACTCAGACTCATAGCATTATGTTCCTTTTTTAAGTTAAACAAATATTTTTAAATACTATAAATAATTATATATATTTAAGTTTCATATAATGCCTATTTTGATCATTTTAATTACCCACAGTAATTTAACTTCACAATTTACCAAACGTTATTGTATTAATTTTGAAACAGTACAGCTACTATAATTATAGTTTACTAAACACTATGTTACTTTTTATAACAGCTGTTTATTCTTTCAACATAATTAAAATTAATTTTTTTTAAATCTACAGTACTATCAAATTACAGTGTGTTGAGGGTTGTCAAATAGGTGATGAGAGATTAGGGGAACGCATGCGACGGCGTGTGAACTGTGATGAGTGCTGAGAGGTTGACGGAGGAATGAGGATCATATGCTGTGTTGAGCGAGTAGGCTGAGGGGCGTAGGCGACAGTGGGCAATAAGGTTGAGACTTGAGAGGTCAACGTCCAACGGGATTTTTCCACTTTCTTTTTTAGGGACATTTTTCATTTGATTATTGAATTTTTATAAATTTGTTTATTTTCATTTTTTCTTTATTTTATTTTTATTAAGTTAATGTTCGATATAATATTTAATACGCATCATGAGGGCAGTTGTATTTTAAAAATATAACTCAAATGACTACTTTTGTACCAATTTCAAAAACAAAAGGGACATTTTAGGAGCTGTTTTTTTACCGTTGAGTTAGGTGATTTGAGTGTAAATTTTGAGTTATAATTTAAGTTGAAGTTGTAACTTGAGTTTGTGTTTGGTTGTGTACATTTGAGTTATGGTTTGAGATAAGAATATTTTTAAATTTGTGTTTGAGTGAGTCAAAACTTAAATTTGTATTTAGATAGTATTTTAATAAAAACTCAGTGCTGATGAAAAATTTTAATAGGGTATATGGGTGGGGTTTTATTCTTCTTTTCATTGTCAACGCATAGAAAAAAAAGCATCTCAATCAGAATTAAAACGAAACAGTTATAGCATTTTTAAGAATAAAAAAAATATTGTTATTAATTTGAGTTTAAATTTCTGAATTCGAGTTGAATGGGAAACTTAAACTCGAGTTTTAGTCTTAAACTCGAGTTCAAACTTAAAAAAACACGAACTTAAATAAAATTGTAACTCGAGTTATTTTTTTTAAGTTCTTAACTCAAGAATGGGGCTGCCGAACAGCCCACATTTAAATATAATTAGAGGGACAAGCGTGGTATTTCATTAGAACACATAATACTTAAAGATATTTAGGATATCTTCCTTTTTAGGAAAAGAAAAAGGATATACCTTCACATGGGTCAGCATCGTGGGTTGTCAAATATTGATATGTCGAACTTACAATGTTCTTAAGATGAAAAGGCATTATCTTGCGTCACTAGAGATCGTTGTTAGTGACGAGCGATGTGTGGTCCTTGCGTGATACGAACATGAGATTCTGGTCTTAGTTTTCCTTAGCATTTGTGACCAAGATCACTAAGAGGTTGTTTGGTTGGGGGATTCGTCCCCTTATTCGAATCATGGTTCGTGGTTCACTACAGTATTTTTTCTCACAAAAAATACACGTAAATCGAAAATGATTCTAATCACATGGTTCTAATTTATGAACTAAACGTCTCCTAAAGTTGATATAGGTGCACCACTTCTTATTGGACTTCCTCACCACGTCTAGGTTACTATCCATCTTAGGTAGTGAGCGTATTTCATCAATCCCTTTTTTATTATTTGTTTGTCAACCTCATCCTTCAAAGCCTCATGCCTTTCAACATTCATCGCTCTCCTCTTTTATACCTTTTCTAAGTACAATTAGTGTGACAGTTATCAATTCAAGGTGAATAATATTATACCAAGTAGAGTTGTAAGTCGTTACAAAGATCTCGTGCTATTGAAATTGTAGATAAACCCTAAATATTTTACATTGCAGATATAAAGTTTGTGCATTTTAATTTATTAATGGCATATTATAATTATTTATTGTTATATTTGAGTGTAATTATTACAATTAGGAGCAAATACTAATTATTTCTTTAATGATATATGTGAAACGTTTATATGTTGAAGATATAATGATAAAAGACATGGCGTAATTTATAATCCAAAGTTAGTAGATAAATTTGGTTACTTTATTTTGCTAGGAGTATGAAGTTGTTTTTCAGGAGTGAAATACTTCATCCGGATAGTAACAATGGGGATTACAAAATAGAGACACATGTGTATTTAAAATACATTAAACATTCTAATTCTTATAATTTTGTTAAGAAAATAATTTTACTTTATTATTAGCTGAACATTTATGGACTAACCATAACAAAAGAAAGACGAAAAAAATAAAGCATTGAAAAAGAAAAAAAAGGCAAATTATCATCTGTAAAATAGAATCTAACAATACCTAAAAGAGTAAAAGCTCTTACCTCTACTTACTTTTTTTTTTGTGATTTTTTTTTTTACATTTTAATTTTTTGTGTGTGTTTTTTTTTAAATATATTGTTCTTCACTTTACTCCTTTTAGAGTAACTTTTTTTGCATGTGTTTCTATTTATTTTTGGTTGGATAAAATAAATTTTTTTCAAATATGTCTCTACTTAATTTTGTTTTGTCAATTGCTATATTTACACATATTTCCTTTACAATAAATAAAAACCTTAAATGGTTGTATAATAATGAATTTCAGTGAATAATAAACTCTTTAAGTATATCTAGTAATACGTACGAACATGTTATAAACTAAGTGGGAGATAAATAGCGTTAAAAAAAACATAAAGAAGAGTCGAACATGAAAATGAAGACCCAAGTGAAAGATACTATAGTAGATTAAAGAATGAAAAGAAAATGAAAAGAAAAGTAAAGTAAAAGAAAAAAAAAAGGGAGAAAAGTGTCAAGAAAATTATTAAAAGGAAATAAAGTAAAAAGAAAAAGAAAAGGAAAGAAAAAAAAAGGAGCACCACGTTTTGGATCAAGATTACAACCAAAAGGAACAGTGAGCCGTTTATTGACTCTTTTATTACAGCCAAGATCAAAGATTACTCGCCATCCACATCTGTACCTGGCCAGACATCCTGAACTAAACGTTTTCTTTACTATCAATATTTATATTCCAATAATTTTCCTCTAAGTTCTAAACTCTATCTTGAAAGTTAAAAAAGA